TTTTGTTTTGCTTGTCCCTGGTTGGTTACTATTTCTATGACCCGTCAGCCCTGTTTAAGGCAGTAACCATAGAAGTAGTCTTGGGGTTTGAACATTTTAATGGCTCTTGAAGGAAATGACCAGACTAGGCTCTGGAGCAGTTGTGGGTACCACTTGGGATAGTCTCGTTTTTGTAGACCCCTAGGGTCTAGCCTGTGGCAGCACCAAAGCCTTGTTGTTTATGTTGGGGACATGGGGATGTCTCCGTGTGCAGATCCTAAAGCCAACAGGTTATTAGGGGGGTGTGTTGCTGGAAGAGGTCCTACATCTCTGCTCTGAATGTCCTCTGTGGTCGGAGTGGCTGGTGTCTCTGGCCAGGGCTGAGCTCCAGGGCCAGACTCCCCCCAACCCCGAGGTCTGTCACCGCCAGCTCTCCATCTGGTCCCTGAGAGGACCAGGGAGCCAGGTGGGCGGGCCTTGTTCTCAGGGAGCGGGCCATGTGGGACTGCGCCACCCTAGCCTTTGTCCAGGGGTCTGGGGCAGGGGTGTGTGGAATGGCCCCAAGCACAGTGGGGGTGTGGGGAGGCTAACGCCCAGGGCGAGACTGATAGCAAGATGGGCCAGGGGCGGGGGCACCTCCGCGAGCACTGCAGACCTTCTCTGAGACCCGTTTGTTAGCGAAGGGATTGGACCAGATAATCTGGAGCTCCCTTTCACTTCAGCGTTCTAGAACTCTGCTCCCGGGCTTCACATTTTACAGAGAACACCACCTTTCTCCACCCCCTCCCCGAGTGGCACCTGTGGAAGGTGTGATAAACAGCCCCGAGGGGTGACTTCCTGAGGGGGCCCAGCCCCTGGCCTTGAGGAAGACCTCGAAGTGGTCACCAGACCTGCTCAGCACTTGACAGGTCTCCCTAGACACCGGGGAGGAGGCAGAGAGGAAATGGGAAAGCACGTTTTTAAGGAGACGCAGTAGCACGTGAACTCCGGCTTTGCCACAAAGACAACAGAAGTCACTTTGGAGTTGGCAGCCTTGACCCAGCCACATTCCTGCCCTCTGCATCTCCTGGGCACAACTTCTTGGCTTCTTGCATTGTCTTCCCAAGCATTAAGAGGCCCCCAGGCCACCTAGAAAGCTCTTTACCAAGTGCCTGCCCTGAATGCCTGTGTCAGGCTGGAGGCAAGTGTGCCCAGCCCTCCCAGGCCTGCTGGTTGCTGGTCTGCAGAAGCTCGTAGGGGCAGGGCGTGTAGGACAGACACACAACCGTGAAGGGGCCACATGCTCGGAGTGTGGTAGCTGCTGTGTCCCAGGTAGTAGGGCCAAGAGGGGGTCCAGGAGAGGAGTAGTCAGCTGGACCTTGGGGTGGGCGGAGACATTTGGGAAGGGGCTGCTCACAGTGCTTTCCCGTTGAGTTAGCTCTTGAAGCCCAATGGGCAGGAATGTAGCAAACAGAGCTGGCCGTTTCCCAGGGGACATCGGATTGGAAAGCAGGCTCTGCTCAGCTCAGACAGTGGCTGCCTGCTGGAGATCGTGAGTGGCCCAGGACATCTGGGTAAAGGGCAGGGTCCTAAAAGGCACTGGCTCACTGACTCCATGTGACGTCATTCCCCTCATCTCTGCAGCAGTCCCTTTAGTGTTTCCTGAAGAACAGGTCGCCGATGACTCATCTTCCCAACTTTTTTTGTCTGGAAAAGTCATTCTTTGAAGGCTGTTTTACCCAGATTTCTGATTTCCATTGTTTCTGTTGAGAACTCAGCTGTCAGTTTTAGTTCCTCCTTCGACGGTTGGGTGTCTGTTCTAACAATTTCTCTTCGTCTTTGGTTGTAGTATTTTGACAACAATTTGCCTAGATATGCTTTTCTTTGGAGTTCGTAGTGTTTCTTCAATCTGTGGCTTGATGTTTTTCATTAATTCTGTAAACTCTTCAGTCATCATCTCTCTTGCTTCTGGGATTCTGATTCCTTGCACGTTACATCTTTTCATCGTGTTGCCTGTATCTCTTATTCTCTTTTCTGTATTTTCCAACTCTCCTTCTGCGCCTCAGTCTGGGCCTTTTCTGGACTGTCTCACAGCTGCACTCACCCTTTCTGTACCCGGATCTAACTGCTATTGAACCTATTTATTGAGTTCTTAATTTCGGTTATGTTTTCAATTATATAATTTCCATTTGATTAATTTTAACAGTTTTAGATTCTCTGCTGAAAGTCTCCATCTTGTGGTTTGCCTTCTTGAACTTTTATTAGTTTCAATGATTTTTCATTTCATTTCTGATCATTCTAAAATCTGGATCTCCTGTGAGTCTATTTCTGTTGTCTTTACTTTTTCCTTATGGCTTTGGCTGAATCTTGGATACTGTCTGTATATGAAAAGTTCTAGAGAAAAATTGAGGTTTCAGATAATTTGTTTTTCTCTGGAGAGAATTTATTCCAGCTTCTGGCAGGCAGTCAGGCTAGGGGTGCCCTGACCCACCCTCTCCGGAGGTGAAGACCAGCACCCAGTTACGTGGCCCGTTCTGCCCAGGAGCAGGCTGGTCAGCGGCTGTGCTGATGCCAGGCTGTTTCAGTCCTGTAAAGAATGCTCCGTTTCAGGTTCACCCCTCCTCTGAGGCTGGGGATCTGGTGGGGGTCACAACGGAAAGCCTGCGGTGTTGCCGGAGCCCGGCTCCGCGGGCGCCCTGAACACGTCTTTTGTCTCTTCAGCCCTGTGAGATTACAGGACGTTCTCCCTGTCGATAGACAAACGCTTCAAGTGGGGAGAGGTGCCCAGCGCCGGGCTCGCCTCTGTGCTTCTGTCTGTGATCGCAGCCCCTCAGACGCTTGTTGCCTTGGCACTTATCCAAGACCAACAAATAGATATTTTAAAAAAATATATCTGTTGTAAGGATTTTAAACGTTGTTTGCAGGGGGCAGGAGGGGTTAAACTTGGTTCCGCATTGGAAAGGCCAGGCCCCTGACCCCAGTGCCCCTGACCTCTCCCAGAGACTTGCCTTTTGCCAGTGGTGGGGGTGGCAGGGGCAGTTAATTGGGCATTAGTGAGGGGCAGTCTCTTCTTTCGCTCTCACAGAGTGAATCAGGTGAGGCCGGACCTAGCTCTGCAGAGCTGGACACACCCAGCATCGCCTCCTTGTTTACAGGTGTGGAAACAGAGGCCCAGAATGGGACAGTCCCACAGTGACTGGGACCCAGGTGTTGTCGACTGCTCGACCAGTGCTCAGCTCCAGCGGGGAGCTGGGGGCAGTGGGCAGCAGGGCTGCTGGTGCTGCCGTGCGGCCAGCCTGCCAGCCATTTGATGCTTCTCTTCCCTGTTGCTTCTGGCCTCCCCCTGTCCCCTGCCTGTTTCTGAGTGACAGTTTTCTTCTCACTAATCCCTGAAGTTTTCTTCCCACACCCAGTTTCTCTTCCGCTTTCCTCCCCACCCTGCTGTGAATGAAAGTCACTTCACAGCCCGTGCCCCACTTGCTCTCCTGTCACTCGAGTGACCTGACTTTCACTACCAGGCCTAGGCAGGCATGACAAGGGGGACGGGATGGGTGTCCCTGCTCCTTAGAAGAAGTAGACCCTGGGAGTGGGCGGCAGGCTTCCTCCACAGGCCATGCTGGCACTGCCCCCGGGCACGGAGGTTCAGCCTAGCCCCAGGGCTGTGGCCTTGGGGCCCTGGCAGAAGGTTAAGGGCAAGCAGAGCTTGTGAACAGGGGACCGAATGTGGCATCAGGAGGCCCCCAAGTCCAGATCGCTGCCGCTCACTAGCTGCGTGGTCGGCCACAGACACCTGCTGCCTCAGCTCCAGAAAGGCTTGCCTACCCCGGGGCCGGGCGAGTCAGCGGCGCTTCGGCCTGGCATAGCCAGAGGGTTCAGTAGATGAGACTGTGGGAGGCCTTCCCTGTTGGGAAGTGTCCCCTGTCCTTGAGGCCCAGGACTTCCGAGGGGCTGGCCAGCAGTCCTCAACAGGGTCCTGAAATGGCAGTGGGGAAGGAGGGCTCACACCACAGTCTCCCCCCACCAGCAGGTAGTGGGGCCATTTCTGCCTCCCCCTCGGCCTAGACGGTCTGACCCAGTGGCTCTGTCTCACCTTGTTAAGCAGGAACTCTCTCTCTGCCACCCGTGGAGTCACCCAGGGCCCCCGCTCCTGCAGGCCAGCCTCTCTGGGGTGGAGTGGTGATGAGCTGCTCAGTCGAGGGGCCCCCAGGGAGCGCTCAGTGCAGCCAGCCCTGCCTGAGGAGGCTGGCTGACAGGAAAGTAATACCGTGGTCACTGGTGGTCCCAGTGTGTGTCTGGTCCCTCATGGCTTCGCCCTTCACAGAGGCCTTACGGTCTGTCCTGGTGGCATTTTAAAGAGCTCCTGCAAGGCTAGGGCCTGTGTAGCCCTCGTGGCCATCAGCCGGACCATGGCTTTCCCAGCCTTGCACACTGTCGTGCTGTTCCCTCAGCCCTTGCTGGCCAACCCCCCCCGCCCCCCCCGCCACACACACACACACAGACCCTTGCCACCAGTAGTCAAAGGACACTGTACCAGTGGCCCGAGGTCACAAAAGCTCTGAGAAAGCGGCCAGGCTTGAGGAGCCAATGGGTGACCCTTGGCTTTCTCTCTTAGGAGTAGCTCAGCTCTGGCCCTGGCCTGTAGTCATGCTTTGCCTCTCTCTCAGATGCCGCAACCACTGCTGTGAGCTTATCAGTGGTGCAGTCTGTCTGACCCTCAGTTCCCTTAACTGTCAATGGGAGATAACCCAGGAGGGACGTCTGGTGACTGCTGCTCAGGCGTCCCTGGCCCCAGCTCCAGACGAGACCCTATGCCGCGGGCAGGGCCTCGGGAGGGCAGCCAGCGTGTCTGCTGAGGACGGACGGAGGGGCAGGCTCAGGGGTGCGGACGGGGGGCTGTCCCAGTGATGGCGTATGGAGCTGTGCTTCCCTCTTCAGCAGGCCATCTCCAGGGAGAAGGGAGCCGGCTCGTGGCCCGTGCACGTGCGCGGTGAACGAGACCGTCCTGCATTTACTCCATCTCTGCTTGTTTCCTGCTCTCGTAGGGAACTCAGGCTGCGGAACTACGTCCCCGAGGACGAGGACCTGAAGAGGAGGAGGGTGCCCCAAGCCAAACCAGTCGCCGGTAAGTGAGCTGCGTCCCCGCGTCCCTACTGCATGGCACTGTCACTTGCCTGCACCCGTTGCTCGCTCTCTGGGAGAATGACCGGCGGAGCCAGGACTGGGTTGGGCCTCTCGGCCCCTCTGCCACCATCTTCTGGCAGATGCACGAGCGGTCAGCGGTGGGACTGAGAGAGGCAGGCAGGGCACTGAAGAAGCCTATCGTGCCTGCCGTGCCCTGCTCACACCTGACTGGAGGCCTGCCAGGGACCACGTCTCAGAGGAGCCCTCTGGGCTGAGGGGTGGAAGTGGCCCCGGGACCCTCGCAGGGTCAGAGTGAGAGATCCTGACAAAGGGCCAACCATTTCGGTGCCCGGAGAGCAGTGGGCAGGCCACCGCTCACCAGGATCGAGGTGTGACAGTGGCAGAGCACAGAGGGTGGGGAGACGTGTTCTTGCCGGTGGGGCGAGGGGCCCGGCCCAGGGGCTGCTCGGTGTCGCCGTGGTATGGGGCGCAGCAGCATCCGGCCCACTGCAGCCTGTCCACTGGAGGTGCGGGGGACACTTATGAGCACACAGTTCCCTGGTCCCTGGCCCTGTTTAATTCTTTGCTTTTTGTTATCGACTTTTAGTTACATGTGTAGTAAATGAATAAATACAATTACCTCGTAAAAAAGTAAAGTGTTGGCCATCTGGCCACACCTCAGTCTGCTTCCCCATCTCCTTTGTCCCTGAGATTCCCATGTATCCCAGGTAGTTTGCGTCATGGTTTGGGCCCATGGGGTGGGGGCAGTGGCATGGTTGGGCCGGGCATTAAGGCGGGACAGGGGAGTGGCGGGGAGCTGGTCCTGTGCCTCAGGGTCAGCACCTGTGGCTGGAGGGAGGCGAGGAAGGGCAGGGGGGCCGTGCGGGAACATGGGGCACTGTGGTGGGGGCTGGAGGAAGCCCACAGAGCCCAGTTTGGGCGTTAGTGCTCCTGGCTTCTGTCCCCACGGGAGCAGGGCCCTCCTGGTCAGACCGTCCAGAGGCCCACGGTGCTGTCAGCAGCTGGGTGCAGCCCAGACGAATCTGAGGGTGGCCGTCCCCCTCGTTTGGAGAGCACACATCTAAGAGTCGGACGAGAGGAAAGCCACCTGTGCTCTGACCAGTCTGCGGCCCAGAGGGCGTCTTCAGAGCCCAGGAGCCCCTGGAGGTTACAGGGACAGCCAGTCCTCCAGGCCCTTCACGAAACCATACTTTGGGTTCGTTCAGACAGCTCTGTCGATTCACAGCTGGGCGGCGGGGGCTGAGAGTAGCATCCGCGCTTCCTGACTGGAAGCCTGGGCTTCGCCTCCTGCAGCTGGCTGCCTGCGAGGGCCCTCCCATGGCCCAGGCTTGCCGTGATCCTGGGGAGCCCCAGCCCTTCCCTTAGAGCTGCCCTTGCAGGGTCGTCACATCTGGCTGGCCAGGGGCGAGGGGAGAGGTGAGGACAAGAGGGCCTAGGGTCTCCCCGGGGACCCCCGCCTGCACTGTCTTCGCCTTTGCTGTGTCCCCGCGGAGGGTGACAGGGCCTCTCTGACGGGCTTGCCTTGTTGTCTTGCACCCTCTAGTGGAAGAGAAGGTGAAGGAGCAACTGGAGGCCGCCAAGCCGGAGCCTGTCATTGAGGAAGTGGTGAGTGCCGGGTGGCCGGTCCCCGTCACTGCTCGCTGGGTCCTTCTTCCCCACCTGCTCTCCGCTCTCCCCTCCCTCTTCCACTTTATTCCCTTTCCACCTCCCTACTTCCTCTCCCCTCTCCTTCTTCCTTTTTCTCCCGTTTTCCTACCTCTGTCCCCGTCTTCCTGCATCCTTTGGGACGGGGCCCCTCCAGCCCTGACGTGCGTCTCCCCCCTCCACAGGACCTGGCCAACCTTGCACCCCGGAAGCCTGACTGGTGAGTGTTGCCCATGGAGGACCAGTGCAGACAGAGCAGCGAGCTCTTGGTACTGGGCTTGGTCTTCGGGCTGGGCCTTTCCACCCTTGCAGTAGGGAGACGGACGGCATAGACCTGTAGCTGCACGAGATAGTTACTGTCCGAAGCACGTGCTGAGAAGGACGTAAATGGAGAATGAGCGGGAAGTGTCGGGGGATGACTCCCGGAGGTGGGCAGAGGCTCAGGCAGAGGGGAGCAGCAGGCACATCAGGAAGTCCCTTCTGAGTGGGTGAGGACCTGCCCCACCTCAGGGAGCCCCATGTGAGTGAGTCCGACGTTTGCCCTTGGGGAGCTGCAGCGTGGAGGAGAGACGGTGGGGAGAGCGGACGTGGGTTCCTGTCCCAGGTCTGCCACCCATCGGCCTGTCCCCCTGTGGCCCCAGTTCCCTCTTCTGTGAAATGATGCTCATCCTTCCCTGGTGTCCCTGTGACTGGGCTGAGAGAGGGGCGAGAGGGCCTCGTGGCCTGGGGGCTGCTTTACCTTGAGCCAGAGGCACAGTGGACCACATCCCTGTCACCTGCACGTCTGCGTCAAGTGCAGCACCAGCTGGAGGTGGTGTAGCTGGTGAAAGAAAAGCGTGGGGCCTGTGTCCTAGGAACCCCCAAACCTGAGAATAGGCTATGCATGCACTTCTAGAAGCTCCAGTGGTTAGGTGAGCATGTGGCTGGAGGAGGAGCAGGACCCACAGTGGGTCATGCCCACATGCACGTCACTCCCCGATGGTGACCTAGGGGACCAGACCAAGAGAGGACCCCTGAGAAGCCATGCGCCCTTGCACACCTGGACTCAGTCCCTTGCGTTGGGTGGGTCTGTGGGGCTGGACCCCGCCCCACTGGGACTGGGGTGGATGGCTGGTGCTGGGTTCAAAGGGTGCAGAAAAGGAGAGAGGAGCCTCCTGGCCTTCTTCCCGGGGCAGTGTGATTCCTAATGTCCAAGGGCTGTGGGCAAGGAGGGCCCCAAGGCCACGGCAGATTAGCCTTCAGCCTCTGGCCTCCCCCCACCTGCCTTCTGTAGGGACCTCAAGAGAGACGTAGCCAAGAAGCTGGAGAAGCTAGAAAAACGGACCCAGAGGGCCATCGCCGAGCTGATCCGTAAGTCAGGGCCTGGCAGGGCAGATCACTGCCCTCTGGGTGGTGGCCCAAGCACAGGCTCCATCTCCATCCCTCCTGTTCTGCTGTCCATCCAGGTGAGAGGCTGAAAGGCCAGGAGGACAGCCTGGCCTCTGCAGTGGACGCCAGCACAGAACAAGAGGCCTGCGACTCTGACTGAGGCGAACCCCGGCCCCTCACCTACTTGTCAGGCCTGTTTAGCAGGAGGATGGTCTCGGACAAGGGTTGGGGCTGGGCTTGCCTTCACGTCCACTTTGGCTTCAGAGCAGTGAATCCCTGCCCCATCATTCTGAACCACCACCCCCATGGGGTGAGGTCAGCTCCTCGTCTCCTGAGTGGTCCCCAAACCCCTGAGTGGGGGCAGAGCCAGCAACAGCTCTGTGGGCTCGCTGTGTCTGTACATATGTATGTATTATGAACTTTTTTTTTTAAATCTCTGGAAATAGAGACAAACAGATCCCTATCATATATTTCCTGGGTCTTCGGCGCGCTGTGGGTTGGGGCCCCGAGACAGGGTGCCTGCAAAGGCGATGCTTACATGAATAGGCCCTGTGTTGGCCTGAGCATGTTGAGACTGGAGGGATGGGACAGGCCCAGGTCTGCCCTCTGGCTCCAGGTCCAGGCCCAGTCCTTGGTCAGCGGTGGTCATCTCAGAACCCTCGAGTGACAGAGATGGGTCTGAGAGAGTTCTCTTAAGACTTGGCACAGGCCTGGGCATTGTAGCATTCTGTGGGACAGCGCGGAGAGGCTCCCTCCCCGGTCCTCTGTGGCCGCCTCACAGTGTGAGGGACGGAAGGGAGAGGCTGGGCCCGTGAAGGCTGTGAGCTGTGCCCCGGCCTCAGCTCTGCGCTGCTCCGGATTCCAGGTCCTGGGCCCTGTTCTCTCTCACTCTGCCTAGCCCCAGGCAGCCCCTCGGTTTCAGTTCTCCCATCAGAGCTGGCCTATGGCTTCCCTGGGACAGGGCCCCTGTGTAGGGGACGGTGGCCCATTCTGCTAGAGACTGGGGTAGTGTGGGCTGGGTTTCGGGTGTGGTGTTGAGTCCCAACCCCCGAGGTCCTGAGCCACCTCTGTGGCGTTGACTCTCCAGAGCAACTGGCTGGCCACAGCTCTGACTCCATGTGTCTGTGGCCAACTAGAATTTCATCTCCTCTAGAATGATAACATGCTTGAGTTTCCTTGGGGTTTTTTTTTCCCATTGAGCCTCCTGCCCCTGCCCTGGGTCATCCCAGTATGTTCGTCCCTCTGTGATGAGTTTCAAGAACACAGTGACCCGGCTTTGGTGGATGGTGCTGAGGACTCGGGCCATAGAGGTGGAGCAGGCGTGTACACGGAGACCAGTATACATACAGTAAACGAAATGCTTTAAGTTAAAATTACGCATCTACTCTAAGAAGGTAAACCTTCTGTATAAAAGAAGCAGGAACTTGCAGTTGTGAATGAAGGCTGAAGTGACGGGTGGCCAGCTGCTGCGGAGAGCAGTGGGACCTGACCAGGACTCTGATTCCCACCAGTGACAGGGGTCAGACATGCCCACGGGCGTCAGGACTGGAGCCAGGCTCCCTCTGCATGGCCAGGGTCTGGACCGGGGCTTCATTTCCTAGGAGTAAAGGATGAAAAGAGCCCCACCTCCTGCGCATGCAGCTGGAAGCAGAACACTTCTCTGTGGCAGTGGAGGGACTCAGACACCCGGTGACTGGCAGCTGGGCGCCCGCTCAGCACCCGCACTGGGACTAGAGTGGGGATATCCCCACAGTATGAGCCCCGAGAGCTGATGGAAGGTTTGCTTCTGCATGTAAACCCTGTGTGCCCTACAAAAAACTGCCTGACGAGGAGAGAGAAAAACAAAGATCACCATGTGTGATGGGCACTCAAAACAAAAGTTACAAAACCTGTGAGAAAACCCAGTGCCTTAAAGAGTGACCAACAACCCAACAAGTGGGTGAGTTTACAGCCAAGGACACTGAAACAGTAACATCCTAACAGGCTTTAAAATGAGCATTTGTTTTATCATCAGAGAGAAAAGAACTGACTCCTATAACTCAAGAACAGAGATTGGATATGAAAAAGAACTGATTAGAAATCTTGAAAATAAAAAACGTTTATTAAAATAAGCTCACTAGCTGGCAAAAATGGGATAGAGGTAACATAGTTTTTTGAATGACTGAACTTTTCAAAATCAATCCACAGATTCAAGGAGGACAACAAAACTCATTGGGGCAACAAAAAGAAGTCTACACTCAAATGTTCCCTCTCTTGATGTGGGTACTGATTTATTAGGTATAATAAATTGCCCCAAAACTCAGTGGCTTGAATAAACATCTTTGTTATCTGACAGTTTCTATGGGTCAGGAATGCAGGGCAGCTTAGCTGGGTAGTTCTAGCTCGGGGTCTCTTTTGAGGTTGCTGACAAGCTGTCCCCACGGCAGCGGTCATCTGAAGGTCTGATGGGCTAGAGGGTCTGCTTCCGAGGCGGCTTCCATTCTCAGGGCTCACAGGGATGCTTGATTTACACACAGTGCACATGCAAGTCCTTGCCATGTGGACCTCTCCATAAGGCTTGATTGGGTGTCCACATGCCGTGGCAGCTGGCTTTCCCCAGAGTGAGTGGCCCAAGAGAGAAAGGAGGAAGCTTTAAGGGCTTTTATGACTGGGTCGTAGAGGTATTATTCTGCCACATTCTGTTTGTTAGAAGCAATTCACTGCATCCAGCCCGTACTCAGAGAATTCGGTTCCATTTCTGAAAGGGAGATCTGCCTAAGAATTTGTGGGTCTATTTTAAAATCAATACATACCTAGACACATTGTAATAATTTGGCAAAATAAAAAGACCAAGAAATAATCTTAAAATTAGAGAGAAAAGATAGATTACCTTTCCAGGAGCAAGACTGTAGCAGATGTCTCAACCACAGGCAGTGGTAACTGGACGAAAGAAAATTGTCAACTGAAAATTCTATACCCAGAGAAAATGTCTCAAGGTATTTTTAGACAAAATCAGAGATTTTTGTCACCAGCGGACTCACACACAAAAAAATCTATTTTGAGGTAATGAAAAATGAAAAATTGTGATGGTGGTTACACAAATCTGTGACTATGCCAGGAGTCGTTGACCTGTACCCTTTAAACGGAGGAATCGTATAGGATGTATATTATATCTCAGTAAAGCTGTTTTTAAAAAACGAATCAGCATTCTCAAAAGGAAAAAAAAAAAAAGAATTCTGAAGAATGTCTTCAGACTGAAGGGACACATCCCAGATGGAAAATCTGAGATAAAAGATAGAATGAAGAGAAAGAAAGTGTAAATTTAAACAGGCATTGACCTTATAAAGCAAAAAAAATGCTTCGTGGAGTAAAAGTGAAACAGGGATCACTTAGCAGCGATGGCGTAGGAGGCCAGCGGGAGGGGGCGGTGGGAGTTACAGCCTCCGCGAAGCTCCCTCAAGACGGGAGGAAAGACTCCAGTTAACACTGGTCTGCAGGCAGGCTGACATTTCTAGGGTAACCCTAAATGAACAGAAACAAGACCACTTCCAAAGCAGTTGAGAGAAAAAAAAGTGGAATGAAAAAAAAAAATAAGGCAAAAAGAAAAGATCAGTAAATGAATCCATATACATCATTAATTACAATTAATGTACTAGACTACTTTTTTTGAAAACTCAGTCTGATGCCATTTTAAAAAGAAACCTAAACCCCAACAGAAAGATTGAAAGCAGAGGGATTAGAAAAGCTCTCTCAAGCTCAGAATCAGCAAAAGGAAGCTGAGGTCGGCTGGGTCATGTCAGACCAGGGAGCCTGTCAGAAGTGTTATTAGCTACACTGCTGTGCTCTGGAGCGGCGCCCCCTCCCCTCCGCCCCGGCCGTGGGAGTGCTAAGTGGGAAGACCCCTTGGGGAACCTTGAACATGAGTACACCCTGTGACCGACCAGCAATTCCACTGTTAGTGTCCTGGGAAACAGTCGCACGTGTCTTCCTGGAGACGGACAGGAATGCTTATAGAAAGAAGCATCGTCCGTAGGGGCTCCTGCACGCACACCCAACACAGATGTGGTAGTAAGCTGTATTTCTTACAGTGGAATTCTCTATAGCAATAGTGAAATGAATGATATCCACCTACAAGATTATGGCCATATCTCAAAAGAAGCAAGTCACAGAAGAAATGGGACACGAGCCTCTGGTATGCGTGGACGGTAAAGCCGGCACAGGAATGCACGGTGGCGGCCTCAGCGTCAGGCCTGCAGCAGCTCCGGGAAGGGGCCCTTGAGGTGCCGCCATGTTCTTTTCCTTGGCTTGAGTGATGGGAACTCACTTTATTCTCTCTCCATTCATTTTCTATTCTGTGTGTGTGTGGTGTTTGTGATGTATTTCACCCACCTACTTTTTAAAGGAGAAATTTTCAGAATTCACAACCTAAAATGACTGTTCAAAGTGTGAAGTGGAATTTTTTTAAATGGCCACATCTGCCGTTCACCGCTGTGGTCTAGATTAGAACATTGAGGGTAAAGAGAAAAATCACATAAGCTCCATGGGGGCGGGAGGTGGGAGGAGGATTACCTACAAATGAATGAGTTTCACTTTTCATCATTAATAGATACTAGAATGAGTTTCACTCCTAAGTGCTGTGGGAACAGATGTCAATCTGTTCAACTATCATAAATACTAAGGGTAGGATAGACATTTTCAGGCTATGGCACTGCTTTCCATGCACTGGTATTTGCTGAGGGAACTCGTAAATGATGGTCTGTAGCACGAAGAGCCGGGAGGGGGCAGATGGAGGAATGTGGGAACCAGGACCGCGTTTGGCAGACACTCACAAACAGGGTCTTAAACCAGGAGGGTTTATTGGGTCTTGTGTTAAGTCTAAAGTGGTCTAGTGGCTCCTTGAGGCTGCCAGGGGCATGAGTCCCTTCCTCTCCCCAGCTGCCCTCTGTAGCTCCCCTAGAAATCTACACCCCAAGGTTTGAGCTACAGGCAGGAGGAGGAAGGGTAAAGGGCAAGCCATGAAGAAACCATGGCTTCAAGCCCAGTCCACCAGGCTCGCCTTCACATCTGACCAGCCATTACTGTGTCTGATCCACTGCTAACTGCAGACATGTGGGGAATAAGGTATTTTAAGCGGGACACATTGCCACCAAGGTTGAAACTGAGAAAGGAAGTAAAAGTAGATAGACTGCTGGGAAGGCAGCCAGCAGTGCCTGCCACAGGACGCAGGAAGAAGTGGTGAGCGAAGAAAGTGGTAAACATTGCAAGAACCAACAATGACACCTCTAGCAAGACGAAAAACGAAGACACACATTATAAACATTAGGAATGAAATACGGCTATCACTGCGAACCCCACAGACATCAAAAGAACAGTAAGGGAATTTTGTAAACTAGCCACATAAATTTGACAAGTTGATGAAAAGAACCAGTTTCTTGAAAAGCACAAACTCCCACAATTTACCCGCGATGCAATAGATACTTTGCATAGCTCTGTAACTATTAAGGATATTGAATTCCTAATTTAAAAACCCCTGAAAAAGAAATCTCAAAGCCCAGGTGGTTTTACTGCAGAATTAATATACCAGTTAAGTGCAATTCCTGTCAAAATTCCAGGTAGGATCTTTAAATATAGACAGGATTATTCTAAAATGATTCAGGAAAGGCAAAAGAACTAGAACAGCTTAAACAATTTTTAACTAGAAAAATAAAGCATGAGGAATCACCACTTCAAGGTGTCACGCAGCTACAGTTATCGAGATGCTCCTGGTGGGAAGAGGTGCACGGATCAATGGGCGAGAACGTAAAAGAAGTAACTCCATGTGCACAACCCACTGATGTTTGACAAAAGTGAGAAACGAGCTCTGCGGAGGAAGCATGGTCTTCAGCAGATGGTGCTGGACTGACTGGATAGCCATAGGCCGAAAAAGGACCCCAGTGTAAGCCTCAGACCTTACACAAAAGCGAAAGCGGGTCACAGGTTTAAATGGAAGACGTAAAATCCTGACTTTTGGGAGAGAACCTTCAGGACCTAGAGCTTGGCGAAGCATTCTTAGATATGAGACCAAAAGCACAATCCGTAAATTGATAAATTGGACTTAACCAAAATGAAAAGCTCTTGACCCAACAAAGCCTGTTAAGAGGATGAAAAGAAAAGCTACAGACTGAGGAAATATTTGCAAACCCCTTATCTGATAAAGGACTCGTCTAGAATGTATAAAGGAAGCTCAAAACAACAGGAAAAAAGAGAGAGGGAGGAAGTCAAATTAGAAAATAGGCAAAAGACATGAGTCATTTTACCAGAGAGGATATATATATATATGACACACAAGAAAGATGTTCAACATCACTAGCCATTAGGGAAATGCAAATTAAAATCATGATGAGATACTATTACACACTTATTAAGAACAGCTTAAATTAAAAACATAATACCAAACGCTGATGGACGTGGAGAAAGGACCATAAATGTTAGTTATTCTGGGAAATAGTTGGGACAGTTTCTTAAGAAACCGAACGTTACTTAACGTATAACCTAGCAACCATGCTCCTGGCATCTATTCCAGAGAAGAAAATTATGTCCACACAGATGGGCTTAGCAGATATGAAAACTATAGACACACATGTTCATAGCAATTTTATTTGTAATCATCAAAAGCTAGGGGGAAAATGCCTCACGCATTACTGCTTAATGAACACTGGATAGTTTGTGTCAGTTAAATAAGCACGGATCTTCAACTTATTGGAGGTTGCCAAGTCATCATCAGACCAAGATACAGGTCTTAGTGTAATTTCTCTTCCTTCAGTTAGGAATTTAAAAATTCACAAACAATAGGTGGGAGTAAGTATGGTAAAAAAAATCTCTGACATGTGGCATGCAGTCTACGAGGGCATTCCTTCACCTGGTCCTGTACTCTGGGGAGTAATGGAGTGGAAAGTTAAATAAGTTTTTATTCTGTGAAGAAACCAGCCAACCCCCAAAATGTCCTTCAGTAGCTGACTGGGTAAACGGGCGCACCACACCGTGGACTACAGCTCTGCAGTAAGAAGGAACAAGCTGTTGATAAAGGGAGTGGCTTGCTTGGACCTTAAGGGCATTATGCTGAGTGAAATAAACAGATACACATGTATCTCAGAAGATCTCCCTCTGTCTGATTCTCTGTTTACATATAACATGCTTGAAATGACACACAGAGATAGGAAGCAGGTTCGTGGTGGCCAGGGCTTGGGTGGGGGTGGGGGTGGGGCGCAAGTGTGACTATATATAAAGGAGTAGCTTGAAGGAGGTTTTTGTGGTCATAGAATAGTTCCTGATTGCAGTGCTAATTACATGATCTACGCATGTGATCAAATGGAACAGACTCCACACATTGGCGAGTATCAAATTCCTGGTTTTGATAAACTAGTTATGGAAGATGTAACCATCGGGAAAAACTAGGTGAATGGTACACAAGACTGCTCTGTACTGTCTTTTTAACTTTCTATGATTCTGTATTTGTTTAAAAATATTTTCAGTGGTGAGCAAAGAAAATAGTAAAATATGTTAATGTACAAATTTATTTATTTTTTAAGTATGCTTTCTGTGTTTAAAAGGACACAGCAAGCTTCCTGGAGTCTTGTGGAAGATCGATCGGGTGGGAGTAGTTCAGAGTTGGTCACAGTGAGTCCTGGCCTCGGTTGGAGGGACAGTTAGGGGACTGTCAGGCCCCAGCAAGCCCTCTGTCATAGGGCTGAGGAGACGGGCCAGGCAGCGGCAGCGCCCAGCTCACCAGGCGCCTCTCCAGGACAGCCCTGACTGCCCCCCTGACACTGCAGGTCCCTCCTGCTTGAAACCCTCAAAGACACCTGGCTTTGGGTCATCTCGGTAGAGGTGTCAGGCCTGGAATGTTCTGCAGCAGCATGGATGCCCCTTCCCCAGCAGAAGGAGGACAGGGCCCTGCTGGCCCCGAGATCCGGGCTTCGTGGATCTGGGAGGCAGCGAGAAGACCAGGAGGGAGTCATACCCAGGATGCTGGGCTGGGCTCCCCTGGGCCAGGTGGGCACTGGCTCGTGCAGGGCCTGTGCCACAGTGAGCAGTGGAAGACGGGGTCAGAGAGAGGCCCAGCCCCTAAAGGTATAAGGGAAAAATCCCATCCAGCTCAGTGGGCTGCATATCAAGTGCAGAAGATAGGCAGGTTGAGCAAATCTGCTCCCCTGGACTATGTCCGCTCTCAAGTGCCAGGCAGCCTCCCAGCCAAGTACCCTGTTGGGGTTCCATGCTGCTTGTCACCTGGGGTCCAATGTGTGAGATGTCCACTCACCTTCAGGTGGCCTCTCCAGGGGGCTCTGAGCCGTGTCCAGAGCCTTCCTGCTGCAGCACCGCACACCCCCGAGCAGCTGGGGAGCCAGGCGTCCTTTCTCCCCATTTCCTGAGTACCTGCCTGTGCCGGGCACTGGCCCAGGGGCTGACACACAGCCCGGCCTTGCCCTCCAGGAGTCAGCCTTCCTGGTGATCCCGGGACCTATGCTGGGCACCAGGACCCTCCCTCAGGCCAGTCTGAAGACCTTTCTTCCCTAGAACCGTCTGCTGGGCATTGCAGGGGGTGTGTAGCGAGCGGTGGCATCTGGGGCCTTAAGGGACTCCACGTGCACCCAGCCGGGAGACTGCACGACGGGAATCTGCGTGCAGCCCTCATTTCCCCGCTGCCATCACACGGCCGCTGGGGGGCAGCAGGAGACACCGGCCCGGGGCCCCTGGAGGGGAGTATGGGTCAGCACAGCCCGCTTTTCCCACTGCTGAAGTGAGTCTTGTGTCACTCCACCAGAGGAAGCACCTCTCTCCTTTCCCATGGGGTCTGTGTCACCTCTAAGTGGCTGATGTCAGAGATGATCCTGAGAGGGGGGCTCAGTCAACCCGAAACCTAGCACAGTGGGGGCCGCATCCTGGGGCAGAGCAGCGGCACCCCCCAGCCGCACCCCATGCCGGCCTTCCTCAGGTTCCAGGCACCAAGCACTCGGGGGCTGTGGGCCCCAGGTGGGTTGTCTGAGTGCCCTTCCAGCCCTGGGGGCAGCACCAGCCGTGCCTGGTCACAGGCAGCACCAGCCCTCCTGTGGGGGTTCCGCACGGGTATGAGGTGAGTGTGGACAGACTACCCCAGGATGTGGACCCACTATAGGCTGGCTGGGTAAGGGGCCACCTGGATGGAGGGTGTGAGGTCCCCTTAGCCTTTGGGCCAGGCCCGAGCAGCCGTTGCTCGGAACCAGGTTCCCAAGATGCCTGCTGACCCAGGAGCCATCCAGGTGGTGTAGGGGGCTCACCCCAGATAGGCCTGGGCAGGCAGAAGTGAGCCGTAGAGCAGAGGGTGTGTGCGCTGCGTCCTGGGGCAGCCTCCCTCCCTGGCTCAGTCAGGCTTGTCCTCGGGGCCTCTGGCTGCTGTGGCCTCGGCAGGGGTGTCTGCTGAGTTTTCCGGCCAGCCTGCCCCTTCTCTATGTATTTACTGGTTGTCTTTAAATGTTCCCATTACTCAGGCCTCCAGTGGGCACTGGGACAGAAATAAATCCCGCAAGGCAGCCCAGCCAGAAGCCGGGAATCCGATTCCCCCTCAAAGGCCGGAAGAGGCCCCTGTGCAGAGCGTGCCAGACCACAGCGGCCCACACACTCCACATGGGCACAGATATGGCCGTGCACCCCCCATGAGCGCACGTACACATGCGCGTATCCACACAGACCCTTGCACCACATGTACGCATGCAGGCACTCGCGTGTCCCACACACAGATTTGCTGAATGCACACACACGTTCACCCCACTCACACAGATTGACCTCACATGCACACATGCATTCACGTGTCCACACACCCACTGCAGACTCGATTCATGCACACACACATGCACTTAACACCTCCTGCATATACATGCAAACTCCACACATACCCATGCGTACTCTCTGGGGTCACAAACTCATCCTCAAGGTGCTGGTGGGCGAGGCTGTGGAGGGTGGGAGGCCGAGGCAGCCCCCGGGTAGCTCCAGGGGAGAGCGGCCTCATGGGAACGCAGGCCTGAGGCTGCCAGGGCTTCTGAATTTTTAAGAGAAACTGGAAAGCTGAATTTTTATGTGAAATATCCTGATTTTTAAATGTTGGCTCAAGATGTTGAAAATATTACGAGAGCCAAACCAAACACATCTCTGGGCCAAATTCCACCCACAGGCGGTGTTCTCAGAGCACGTGTCCACACAGACGCACAAATAGACACACACATATACACAGACATACACACAACCTTACAGATAGACACACTGGTACACACACAATACAAAGATAGACGCACTAAAAGATACACGTGCAAACGAACATACAGATATTTATAAGCACATATGGGCACAAAAACACACAGACACAGGTATACATGCAATAGAACCACAAACTGACACACCGTACAAATAGACACAATGGACAGACAGGCACATGAACAGACACATACACAAACACACATACATCAATACACACACACACAGGTGGTGATAGACACAGCACACCTGTGTGTCTCCCTGATGCGGGTGAGCTTGCTGGGGTCAGAGCCAGGGCGTGGGTCACACCCAGCCTGTCCCCGACTTACAGGTGCTAGAACGGGAAAAGCGTGCTGGGGCAGAGGGTCCCTGGGAGCGACCAGCTGTCTTGCAGAGCACAGCGTGCGGAGTAGAGAGGAGCAGGTGAAGGCCCTCGAGTGCCAGGCCCGGGACGGAGTTGGGACCACAGGCCCTGAAGCTCTGGGAAGGGAGCTCAGGTGGCCACAGGCCCACCCTCCCATGCCCGGGACCCCATCCTCCCAGCCTGGTGTGGCCCCTCCTCCTCGCCACTGGGAAGCAAGGCCAGCGGAGCCTTGCTTGGGGGCTGCTCATCTATCTGCAGGATCCCCACCGGAGCCACTGAGACCACCCCCCCTGCCGTGGTTCTGTGGGAACTGCAGACGGGGCCTTCCAATCAGGACCCCTGTGGAAGGCTGGAAACCCGCCTCTGCACCCCCACTAAAACTGACCTAGGGGTGGGGGGCCTGAACAATAAGTGGATAATTAATGCAGGCACATGAAGGGGTCCCACCTCCCCTCCCTCCCCCACAGGTGGAAGGACCGGTTGAAGGCCTGGAATCCTGTCTTCTGCCTCTCTGACCCTGGCCCCTTTCTTGACCCATGGACTGGGAGGAGCTGCATACAGGCCACACCCATCGTTTCTTGGCCCCCTTCGTCTGCATGACCTGAGGCTGAGCAGGTCACTTGGGGATATCCTGGCCTTGAGTCCTGAGGACCCTGTCTGTCCAAGGGAAAGCTAGGGGTCCTGTCCAGGCAGCCAAAACCCAGCCTGGGGGCCCACCGGGGAGCAGGGTGGGGTACTGAGCGCATACAGACCAGGAGGCCTGAACAGGGCCCTGACTGCAGAGGAGAAGCTGAGGCTCAGAGCGGGAAGGCGGCTTGGCTGGGATCACACAGCACACGCAGGGAGCCAGCCTGGGCCCGGGCCCCCGCCTGCCTCTGGAGTCCCCTCACCCTCTGCCCGAGAGGAGGCTGCTCCTCTGCCCCAGCCGGTGTTGTTTGGGTTGGCCATGGTAGCCTTGGGCTGGCATCATTTTCCTGGAGCTGGCTGAGGAGGAGGCATCAGGGACAAGCGGCTGGACCCAATGCAGCCTATGTGCCCAGCAAGCCCCAGTCCTCCAGTGCCCTCAGCCAGACCTCTCGTCTAACAACCAAGGCAGACCCAGGACCTTCTCAGACACCCCTGGCATGTCCATGTCCCCTCAGATACCCTCAGAGCAGGGCCGTGTCCCCTCAGACACCCTCAGAACAGGGCCGTGTCCCCTCAGACCCTGGGTCAGGGCTATGTCACCTCAGTCACCCTCAGAGCAGGGCTGTGTCCCTCAGACCCCGGGGTAGGGTCATGTCTCTTTTGAGCTCCCAGAAAACTCAGTCCCCTTTTCCCTCTGTCTCCCCAGGGTGAGAGCTGAAGGGCGCAGACCATCAAGGTCTGCCCACGCTGTGGGACTTGTGGTGCCCAGCTCAGTCCTTGTTCTCGACAGCCTCGCAGGTTGAGAGTGGGCAGAGCCATCTCCCAGATGCTCCCGGACCCCCATACCCCGCTCTGAGCTGGGAGCTGTGGGCTCACCCAGACCC